ACAACGGGAAAGTCATCACATATGTAAGTATTAGGGCTCCAGTCACTAACCTGATGGTAACCCTTGAATCCCTTCTCAAAATCGCACTCAAAATCTTCAATGCCGTCCAAAAATGGTGAGAAATAAGCTAAAAATCGCGAAGGAGAACATATATACTTTCTGCCCAAGGATTCCGCACCTGTGGACAATTTCCCGCACCTGCGGACTCGCACCTGCGGTCCCAGGTGCGCACCTGCGAAAATCACTTAAAGGACTGGGACCGCATCTGCACTACCCACCGCACCTGCGGTGCCGCAGATGCGCCCAAATAACCGCATATGCGGTTCTTCTCCTGATGGCCCAAACACGCACCTGCGATCTCCTTGCCGCATCTGCGTCCTCGCACCTGCGGTCCCCAATCCGCAGGTGCGGTTATGACAGGAGCAGCAAAATCTGCTGCATCAACTTGGTTCAAATCCTTCCGTCAACCATCCAAATCCATCCCAAAGCCCTCGGGACCTCAACCTAACATACCAACAAGTCCCATATCATCATTCGAACTTATACTAACCTTCGGAACACTCAAAACAACATTGAAACACCAAATCACCTCGGATTCAAGCCTAAGGATTTCCAAACTTTCGAATTCCGCAAAAGATGCAAAAACCTATCAAACCTCATCCGAATGACCTGAAATTTTGCACACACGTCAAAAATGACACAACGGACCTACTCCAGTTTTCGAAATTCCATTCCGACCCGGGTATCAAGATTTCCACTGCCGACCGGAAGGCTCCAAATTTCCAATTTCGCCAATTCAAGCCTAAATCTACTACATACCTCCAAATTACATTCCGAACATGCTCCTAAGTCCAAAATCACCTAACAAAGCTATCCTAACCATCAGAATTCACATCCGAGATCTTCTACATATAAGACAACATCCAGTTGACTTTTCCAACTTAAGCTTCCAAATAAGAAACTAAGTGTCTCGTTCCACTCCAAAACTACTCCGAACATAGAACGACCAACAGGATATGATGAAATACAGCTAAAGAACACATAAAGAAGCAAAAATGGGAAAAGCGGGGTTGTAACTCATGAAACGACAGGCCGGGTCGTTACAGTTTTAGTAATTATTGCTAAATTAAGTTTTAGTAATTAACTTTCACGTGCGTAACTATTACCTAATTAAAAAATTTCTTTTGTGCATCATGCATAATACACACGTATACTAAGTGGGCGTTTGGACATAAGAATTGTAAAATTCCAAAAAAAATGTGAAAAAAAAAAATTTAAGTGAAAATGATCTTTGAAAATTAGAGTTGTGTTTGGACAAGACTATTATTTTGGGTTGTTTTTGAAGTTTTGTGAATGATTTTAGTGAAAAAAATTTGAAAAATAGCTTTTTGGAGTTTTTCAAGTTTTTGAAAAAATCTAAAATTCATTTTCAAGTGAAAACTAAAAATTTTATGACCAAACACTGATTTCGAAAAAAAATAAAAAAAAATCGAAAGTAAAAAAAAAATTTATGTCCGAACGGCTCTAAATCTTAGTCTAAATAAAAAATATAATGAGGGAGATAATTAAATAACTAGTATTAGTACCCGCGGGATGCGCGGACACAAATCATGTTAAATTGTGATGTATGTTGTTTGAATCATGTGCAAACAACCTTAAAATATAAACCTCTCAGATAAAAACTATATAATATTAGATATTAATTATGAAGTAGGATATGAAATTATTGTTCAAATGTCGTAGTGCATAACCTATTTTTTTATATATATATTTGTAGCAACCTAACCCCTTAATTTTAGTCTTGCATTTCGTTTCGCTGTCAATATTAAAAAATACTAAACATAACATGTTGTGATCTATCTTGTTTGAGCACAATAGATCATATTATTTTAACAAACTTCTTACTATCCCTTTGTTTTTATCTAAAAGTTAAATATGTCTTATTCATCACATTATTTATACACAAAATTCTTTTTTCTTTTGTTTTTTTCTTATAGTTATTGTATTATTTATTATTTAATATTATTGTACTATTATATAATATTTTATTAGCTTAATAATTTGATTAATGTCTTGCTTATTATTCTTTTAATAGTCTTTAATAAATAGAAATATTTTATTCTTGAAATTTGGTATATTTTTATGCTTGTATCCTCTCATTCGGATTCTTTAATCAATTAAATTTATTATAATATTATTAATTATAATTTAATTTTTTAATTTATTTATTTTTAAATTAATTTAATGAATAAGTATCCTCACACTATCTCTATTTTTATACATTCTCTTCCCTACTATACCAAAGTAATATTATATTTTATTTTAAATTATAAAATTGATGCAGGCTAAAATATTAATACATAAGTTATTTGATGATTATGTTCCAAATGTATTGAGTTCTATTATAATTATTTTTGATTTAGATGCAATTAAATTCCTTTTTTTTTAGATTTAAGATATAAATTTAATATTTAATTTTCATTACTAAAATTACCTATATTAGAAAGTTAAGTTTTATATTCTTAAAAAAAATTTTAACATTAGAAAAATAATTTCTTAATTTTTTGAACATATTATATGTATGTAGTAATATGTTTACTGTCATTTTATTTCTTTCCGTAATTATTTCCAAAATAAAAAAATTATGTCTCAAATACAAATAATTCTTATCATTCTATTTTCTAAATTGGAACCACAATTTCAAAAAATTGTGCTATGCTTTCAAACTTATACTAACTGCACTTAATTCATATATTAATCATAGAAAAATATTTTCTTAGTTGTTTGAACACATTATATCTAAATGTTGTAGTAATATTTTCATTGTCACATTATTTCTTATGTAAATTGTCTTTCTTTTTAGCTTTAATACAAATTTAATTTTTAATTTTCATTACTATAATTACCTATATTAGAAATTTATTTTATATTTTAGTTATTTTTTTCATAAATAAAACTTCAATTTCAAGATAGTATCCATAGTTTGAGCATTCTAATCATAGTTTTAACAACTTTCTAATTTCGAATTCAATTAGCCTTTCCCTTTCATTTCTAATAGTAAATTTTAATAATTTAACATAATTTTGCTAATTTTTAAGTATTTTATATTTAATTTTAACAACTTTCTAATTTCAAATTCAACTAGCCTTTCCCTTTCTAATTTTAAGTTTGTATATTTAATTATTTTATTTTCTAAACTTATGATATATAAATATCCTCACATTATTTCTAATTTATTTCTATTGTTCAATATTTTTATTTTTTGATTTTATCTATTAAACTTGAGTTACGTGGACCTATTCATATTATGACTTTTCTTATCGAAATATAAAAACTTTCTCATCTCAAATTTAAAATTTTACCATTTTTTTCTATGATAAAAAATCTAAGAAAAAATTCTCTATTTATTTTTTATTTTTGATATTATATTATTCAATACCTAATATTATTACATTGTCATGTGGATTTTTATTAGTTTCTTAGAATGTAATATCTATTTCTACCACACTCATTCTAATATAATTTAGATAAAAATTTAAATACTTTCTCAAATTCAAATAAGTTCTATTATTCCATTTTCTAAATTTGATTGCATTTTCAAAAAATTATGTTATCCTTTCAACTTAAATTAACTGCGCTCAATTCAAATATTAATCACAAAATAATATTTTCTTAATTGTTTGAACGCATTATATCTTCGGCGAGGTCTGGATATATCTAAAGTCTCTATCTAAAGTTGACCGGTTTTAATGAGGTTACCGACTTTGTAGATTTCACCGGCATTTGAAGGCCCACCGGTAAGGGTTCTGCCTCGACAGAACAGCGACGGGGAGAAGGGGGAGGGTAAATGGTGATTGCGATTGAAGGGGAGGTCGCCGCCTAACTGGTCAACACCCCCGGAGGCGGCGATTGGTGTCGATGCAGCGGTAGAAATGGAGGGAGAGAGGAGCTGACAGCTGCTATGTCAAAACGAGGGAGGAGATGGTAAAGAAGGGTTCTTTTCTTCTTTAAATGTATTTTCTTTTTGTTAATTACATGTGTCAAATTCTTATGGCAAAATTACACGTGTCATTTTTTGATTGGTCCATTTGACATGTCATTGGCGAGTGCAATTCAACACATGGCCTGTTGTACTCGAGTATTTACTTGACCTACTTAATAGCCACTTGAAGTGTCAAAATGAAATATGGCTCGGTTGAGGTGTTCGATTGAAATTAAGGATGGCAAGCGGTGCAGGGAGGTGCGGGTGCGGGGCGGGTTTTGTCTTAACGCGCAAAATTTCAACCCGCCCCGCCCCGCATAGCATTTCCATCCGCATCTACCCGCCCCGCACTCACACCCGCTTCCACCCGCCCCGCTTAGATTCCTTTTTTTCTTGGCTTTATTTTTTTTATCATTTTATGTCTAACCTAGGTGGTTTTACTTAATAATTGCAGCTGTTTATGGGCTGAAAGGATTGCATAATCCATAGTGAGCCACTGCCGTCACACATGATAAACAAAATATTTTTTTATTTCATGGGTGGTGTCGAAGTCAAAAGAAAATGTTTATTACAAATTTAATGATGTGTAGTATAATTAAAATACATCAAGAACGGTAGTTGTTGAATTTTCATGCTAGACATTTCTGTTTCTCTAATATACTTTAATTATTTTGAGAACGAAAAAAGCAATTCGAAAAGATAAAGAAGGAAAAAGTTATAACATACGGGTAGTTTGTTGTTTTCTTTTGCCCTCTCATATTATGAAGAAGCAATTACTCAATATCGTGCTTTCTTTATGTCATTGTAGCGTTCATATGTGTCTGAGGACTGAGAGAATACATTACAGTTAATAAATTGATGTTTGAGAGTGAAGACCCGCAACCGCCCCGCACCCCGCAAGTATATTTTTCGAAAAAAATCAAACCGCCCCGCACCCGCATAAAACCCAAACCCGCCCCGCATAGGTTCAAACCCACCCCGCACCCGCACCGCCCCATTGCCATCCCTAATTGAAATATGCAAGAAACTTCAATCTTAACTGCTGACAACAATAACAAATACGGTGCAGATTTTGAAGCCATAAAAGTCACAAAAATTAACATCATGATGAAGTTGTACATCTTACATGAGCCAAGGAACCTCTGATCATTCCTACCTAAGTCTCTATATTCTTGGATATTGATGTACTCAAGCTTGCAGTCGTTCAATTCCTCCTCTGCAATACATAGATATTAGAAGTTAATTTCCAGCAAGTTTCCCCTCACAAAATAAACTTATGTCCATAAACAAAAGATAGAGATCAAATTATAAGCTACTACAAATTAAATGGACAAATAAGCTCCATTTTAACCGCAACTATTACAGTTTTACTGCTTCAGGACACAAGGTTGTTCACTATACATACAAAGTCACGGAAGAGTGGAGGGTTGTGAAGCATTGAAAATAACCACAGGACTCAGGGGCCAACAATTTCCGTTCAATTAAATTATTGAGCCGAGTAAAAACAAGATAATTAGCAACCATTCCAGAATATCAACATTTTATGCATTCACTAGCTCGATCATCGCCTAAATGGGAATGGACAAGATTTATATATGTCTAGGGCAATTATTACATAACATCAACGGCGAGGATTCATATATAACTCTCTCGAGCAGATCTAAACTTCGTATTCTGAAAGACTGACAAACCAAGGATATATCCAATCTCCCTAAACAATTACCTTACGCTTCTTCTGTTGTTTGATTCCAGCGCTGCTGTTATCAAAGTTTGCTGATTGTTCAGAAGCATCCCCTAAAGGCAAACTTTTTATCTCGTCATAGAAACTATCTGTCAGCCCAAGCAACCTAGCACAATTAAAGGGAAGAGATTAACATCCACTTAGTCCATTTAACAAAAAACAGAGCTCCACCTAATCTGCCGGCACTCTTCAGACTATGTATACATTAAGTTTCTACGTGCAATGATCAAAACACTGACCATAAAGTGCTTTTCTTTTTAATTAGTAAGACTGACCATACAGTTCCTACAAAACTTACCCATTTCTTGACTTCTTCAGATGTTTCATTTTCTTTTTTTCCAACTTTGTGAGTGGGGCACGAGCAAACGTCTCCTCTTCTTGTCGTGCACGTTCTTCCATTTTAGCCATGTACTCTCTGAGTTCTCTACTTTCAGTTCCAACAACTTCTCTTACCTGTATTTTCCACCGAAAGCAATAGTAAAATACAGGAGGGGTCATTGAAATATATCAGTATTAATAGTCAGATAGTGAATTACCTCTTCGGGTCTACCTTCAAGATTATTCACCAAATCTATCATAAAGGGGTTTTGTCTAGCCTTTCGCAAGTCCATTGTCTCCTTCCTCGATTTATTTCTCTCCTGCCTCGACATTTTATCTTCTTCCATAGGAGCAGGTACAAGTTTGGGGGGTCGATATACATTGCTGCCATCCTGTAGCTCAAGACAAGAAACATTCAACCATCTCTTTTATTTTAGGAAATCATATGGGAGAATGAGAGAGTAAAATCATAACTTCAACTTTTTGAACTGCTAATGTTCGAGTCAACTCTTTGAACAGGAAGAGCAAAAAGGAACTAAAATGGTCATTTCATGGTCAAGTACCAATCACCCACCTCTATGCCACGTATTTTATTAACAAGCAAATCAGGATTTGGACGATACTTCAACAGGTCCTCCTTCTGGGTATCTGTTCCCTTCTCACTTATAACTGACTTCTCAGAAGCAGCGTCACTATCTCTTGTGAGCTTCTGAATTTGATACTGTAGTTTCTTGTCGATGGGGCGAATCTGCACAGAGCATCACGATAAGGACACTGCAATTAGGAGCAGAAAAGTACCCAAGAGGAGCTGGAGAGACAGGATTACCCAAAAGCGGGAAGAGCTTCAACATACCTTCTCCAAAAACAATCTTATCTCGACTAGACTCCGAATAACTGGATGCCCTTCAATTGAGAATCCTTTTGCCTTGCGGAGCAGATAATAGACAAGTGATTGGCAATAATTCAGAAGTAGCAGATGCTTCGTTTCAAGGTAACTTATTCCTTCTGGTGTTGGAAAGTGACCCGCTTTCACCTAAAGACAAATTGCATGGGGATTTTGGAAGAAGAAACAAACATATCAATTTGACATAGTGATATCTTTTTCTTTCCTACACAGAGAGCACGAGAATAAATACAAGGCATACTACGGAAATTGATCCAGCAGTTCACAATTTTATTTTCTTTGTTTTTTTGAGTTGATTTTTTTTTTTTAATCAGTGAGTACNATTTATTTTCTTTGTTTTTTGTAGTTGAGTTTTTTTTTAATTCAGTGAGTACCCAGCAGTTCAATATTATCTGTGACCTAGTTGACCTAGACAGGAGCGCTATATGTCATTTGAAAACCAAGCAAGTACTGCAATATAGCAAAGAGTTGGTTTATTGATACAGGCAGTTTGAGATGATTAGACATAGACGAGAAGTAACATAAAACCAACATGAGTACTAACTGGGAAGATCATTTATAAGCGGTGCTAACATCTATCACGTGGCCAGTCCGTACAGTTAGAAGATCCAACAAATATAGTTGCTTAAACGGGAAAAATGTTGGGAACAGCCTCTTTGCCCTTCCAGAGGTAGAGGTAGCTGCGTACATCTTACCCTCCCCAGACCCCACTTGTGGGAAAATACTGGGTTTTTTGTTCTTGTTGTTGCGTAAACAGGAAAATGTTGAGTAACAGGCTCTAAGTCCATTTCATTCAAAAAATAAATAAGGTAAACTAACTAGAAGTTATATGAATTTCACACTTATCCTAACTATATACAAATCTCAATAGCAAGAACAAAAAGAATCCAGACAAATTATAAACCAAATGTAAGTGCATTAGCTGATTTTGAAGATAATATAATGAAGCTGCTTTGAAGAGAAAGGAAATCATATTTTGAAGACAAAAGCTAATGTCTACTGCATATCATCTTTTGGTGTAATTTAGAGCTAGTAAGTGATGTTGAACTTTGGTAGACTTTATTAGTTCCCTGCACAATTAGAAGGGAACTATGTTTTGGTTTCTATTTTTTCGGATGTAATCTACAGCACCAATTTAGTGCTGATTTCATCGATAAAACTTACCTTTTGCTAAAAGAATATAAGTATATTGACAATAACTAATTAAACGTGACTATTTGGTAACCCATTTAGATTATTTTTTTTCTCCTATTGATGGTGTCCGGGCCAACTTGCAGACATCTGTGCACAGGTATTGGGTAACTCTGTCCGTTAATACTTATAATGTTGAAAAAGAATCAACATTTTTTGTAATTTCACATGATTTCAGCACATCCCTAAAAGAGCCTGTAACCTTACCTCTTTTTCTTAAAGTCTATAAATTGTTATTTTCTGACGAATTATCTATCAATATTTAATCAACTATATCCATGAATAACAAGAAACCGCCGTTGTTGTTATTGTTGTTGCTGCTGAAGATAGTTATAGCTCGACAAAGGCGTTAGTTGGCCTAAATTTGAGGGATTTCTACTATTTGAGCTTAATTCTAGTTTCCCAAAGTAAGATTGCTTTTCACATTAGCACCTATCTCTAGGACTCGGTTTACAGGAAGTCGATAGGAAGTAACGCAGAGCTTTGTGCTGATCACCAATTTTGCAACTTGGGGTTTTCCACAAGGATGTTATGAGGTAAAGGGTCTTAAAGTTGTTCACTTTCCTCACTTTTGAATGACCTAAAGTTGAATTCAAAAGAGTGACAACATTCTTGAACTTGTGCTTCTCCAGTTTTTCTAAAAAATAAATTCCCATACTGATTCTGATCATGGGGCTTAGATAAAAGACTAATAATTCTATGACAAGTTTCAAATGCAGGCTTGTTAGCTACTTCTCTCAACCCCCAAAAAACATAAAAATGAAAGGGAGAAAAGGAGGAAAAACAAAGAAAGCAGAAACTTTAATTCCTAAAATCAAAAGACTTGAACCCAAAACACAAACAACAACACCTACTACTACGCCTTAGTCCCAAACAAGTTAAGCTCCGCTGTATATGAATCCTCACTGCTCTCAACCGAAAAATAAAATACACCCCCTCAAGATATAGGATACAATCAACCTGAAAATTACGAGACAAAGGAAGGAAGGAAAACAGAAGCAATGGACATCATGATCACAATACCAGCTAAAATATCAAGATTGAACTATATGAATGAAATTACAGAAAATAAAACATAACCAGATGAGAAATCAGCATGAAAAAAGCAGTAATTGTATTGATAAAGGAAAAAAGCAATAACAATTGGATCTTTACACATTTAAAAAAAATAAACCAACCTTTGCAGTTAAAGCTTGTACTTTTGAAGTCACTGTATCCAATCCTTCTTTCATCTCCTTTAATACTGTAACTAACTGAGGAGCTTGCCTGTATCATTCATTCACATTCAAAAATTTCAATATTATGTGCTCCATTATTACTAGAACCCTAAAATACCAACAAAAAAAGAGAAATCACCTGCTTATTTTTTCGCTCGTCTCAAGAGATGTATTAGGCTCTGCCATATTTCACTATCGCTATTGCTGTGAAAAAGGTTCTCCCCTGGTAACAATGGCGGTTTCTTGTTAGAAGTAGATGAAGCTGAAATGCAGGTTTTTGATGGCGAAGCAGGTTTGTATTGGGACTGTGTAATTGGGCTTGTCCATCCTTTTATGGGGGCGAAGTCCACAAATAGCCATTTAAGGACCCATATTTAAATAATAGTCAAATTTTACAAAATTTCTAAAGTTTAATTAGGGTCGTGCATAATTTGGTAAATACCGAATTACCGTATCGAAACTGAAAATCTTGGTATTTGGTATTCAGTATGGTATTTGGTTTAATTTTTAAAAAATAATTGGTATTAGGTATTTTAAAATGAAGTACCGATACCGTACCGAAATATATATTATATTGCACAATACGCATATTATTAATTATAACATAAATATAAAAAATCTAAAATTTTACCTTCTTTATTCTCTAAGTTCATCAAGTAACTCTAAGCAAGTAACAAGACATTTCTAACGATCAATTTATTCCTTTATGTACAATTTTCTCTCTCTTGGTTGATATTTACTGGTTTTGGATAAAACTTTTGTCAACAAACGTTTAGTTTTGTGCTTTTGAGTACTTTAATTAAGAATATTACATTCTATGACTCGACGCACAAGTTAGTATTCAAACTGAATAAACCGAAGTTACCGAACCGAATAAACCGAAACGAAAGGAGAAAAACCGAACCATACCGGATTTAATTAGGTACGGTATTGGTATAGCGTTTTAAGAAACCGAATACCGAAAATACCGAACCGAAACATCTAAATATTGTACCATACCGACCGACAAACACCCCTAAGTTTAATCACCTCGCGTCTGAAGTTGAAAATAGATGGTCTGAAGTTTCCAATGTCAGATCGATGGGTCTGAATTGCCAATAGCAAAGCCGGGCAGCTAAGTTGGTATGGAAGAAATGCTGCGCCGCGGGAAGTCCTTCTCTATACAAGTTCTCGGACGAGGTTTTTGAACATAACTTCGATAGACGAGAGGTGTAAGCCTAACCCCAAAAGGTTCCTTTGGAAAAGCTCTTTCTCCCTCCTAATTATGGTAGTCGTGGTTGATTTGAGGATCTTACGCGGCGAAGCGGAGAAGGAGTAGGAGTAGGAGCTAGCTTTAGGGGCGGAATCGAATGATTACGAGAAACACAATGAGACAAAGGAGAGCACTTAGACAATTCACTTTGAACACTCCACTATAGGATGACAATCCTTCACTCAGGAAGGGTAGGTTCCACACCGACAAGACCTCCTATCCCAGAATCCGCTCATTTCACACCAACTAAAGCGGAACTTAATCACCAAGGTAGAGCTGTATAAAGCCCTAATGTAACTGAACAAAATGGAAAACCCGCAATACGAGAGCAAAAATCTTCTGTGTCTAAGAAGAAAAGCAACATCGAGTTCTAAATTATCGATGCGGTCTGAAGTAAGGCTTTGGCATAGCTCAACTTCATACCCCAAAGTTGGTATTTGAATTATCTATCTATATTATATTAAAAGCACGAAGGCCCTTAGAGAAATGTCAATTCGCCTTTTTTTTACCCTTTTTAAAATAAAATTCACATTAGACAAAATAGTCATTTGATTGTTTCCCTAGTATTTAAAAATAGTTATTTAATTAATTTTCTACTATTTAGGAACAGTTATTTAATTACTCTTTTAATATGTATAAAACATTGATTTTATATATTTCTATTATCTATTATATAGAAGAGCCAAGTTGGTCGGCCAAGGGCAAATTTGTAATTTCATCAGCTGATTTTGTTTGTTTTGCCTAATCTCTTCCTTACATCTCAGCTGTCACACCTCCTTTTTCTACCCCGGAAGGGGCATATAAGGGAGTTTTTTCCAATTTGAGTGACAATCGAAACGGAATTATTTATTTTAAAATTCAGAGTCGCCACTTGGGATAATTTATGGTGTCCCAAGTCACCGTTTCTAAATCCCGAATCGAGGAAAGATTGACTCTGTTTTACAGTCCGCGAATACAGAAATTCGGGTAAGGAATTCTGTTAACCTGGGAGAAGGTGTTAGGCACTCCCAGGTTCCGTGGTTTTAGCACGATCGCTCAACTGTTATTATTGGCCTATTTATCTGATTTTAAGACATCTTTTGAAACCTATGTGCATTTTATCCCTTTTAAAACCGCTTTAATAATCCGACTGTTGTACAACTACTTATTTGATTACAAGTTGCGAATCATATCACGGGAACCGTACCCATAATCCACAACATGTTTATTTTATTAACAAGATTAAATTGTGGCCGGGTCACATAAATGTACCCCGGATTTTAGAAATTAAGAGTCACGATTGAGTCACGGGAACCATACCCGTAGCTATGACGGTTTATTCAATTAACGCGCCTAAAGCAAACTACGAAAGTTCAATGCATTTTTTTTTACACTAATTAAGGTATCGATGTGAGGGCCATAGACTAGATGATTGTATGGCACACCTCAATTTTATTAAAAGAAATGCATTCAACTAAATGAACTACGGATATTCATATATAACACTAATTTGAAATTAGGTATCACAACTACGCCACGGGAACCGTACCCGTAGTACTGGTGATTTAATTACGTGCCTAACGTAAGCTACGATGGTTCATGAATTATTTTAACCTATTTAATTAACTTTTTAAATAGTAAACATAACATGTAGTATTAAATGAGAGAGGTATTAAAATGACGTAAAACCTGTGTGTTAAATTTTCCAACATTGTAACATAAACAGTCTCATCATTGGAGTCACATGCCAAGATATAATTGAAATCAGAATAAGAGTGAAAAGGCCAATAAAGATCATATTTAGGTGACAATCATCCTACGACATCAATGATAGAAGACCAAATTGGACTACTGTAAACATTATTGCTAAAATGACGAAGGAACGGACCTTTTAAACTGCCGAAATTTTAGAGCGGAACAATGAACAATAGAAGATCTCGAACAGCAATGCGGACCGTAAATATCAACCGGAAAGCTCGAACACCTCAACCTCCGGCAACCTCCAATTTTAACTTTTGTCCGTGTTCTCTACTGTGTGTGCGTGTTCCGGCGAGCTGTAGTGAATGGGAAGAAACAGAAGCAACGACTGGGTTTATTCTCGCCGGATTCCGGCAGTAAGGAAATGGCACCGGCTGCTGCTATCTCCGGCGAGTTCCAGGTGGTGTGAGAGGTGTGTGTAGCTGGGAGTTCTAAGTGTGTGTGTCCTTCGGCTGGGGAATGGCTGCTTAGGCCTTGAAAATGGCTGATGAGGAGTTCTTCTGCTAGAGATGAGAGCTGCCCCTAGGTTTTAGGGTTTTTGCAAGTTTTTTACGATCAAGTTGGGCTGGAGACGGGTCTCCTTTTTAGTTCTGCGGCTGAAGCTTCTTGTTAAGGGCTGTTGGTTTTCGTTTCCAATCTTAGTCGTTTTTTAGGTTTCAGCCAAGGTCCAAACGGCTCCTCCTCTTCACTAGGTTAGGCGTTAGGTGTCTCTATATATATATATATATATATATATATATATATATGATCCCTTTAGGTTTTTTAGGGTTATATTAGGTTAGGGGTATGGGCCTAGGGATTATGGGCTTGGAATTATGGGCTAGGTCCGAAAATTAGGCCTAAAAATGGGTCACTTGAGCCCAAATTTTATTCTTTCCCCGCGAACGAGACTAAAAATACGATCTCATTTATTAATTAATCCTACTTAAGTAAAATAACTATTAAAATAAGACTAACCGTTAAAGCAAAACTATTTTTGGTATTTTTCAAGATTAAAAATGAAACTATTTTTTTGTAATTTTTATTTTTGTGACGAAATAAAGTAAAAGCGTCAAAATTAGTTGAAATAAAGATATTAGGCCTAAACTAAATATTTACATGCTAAAATATAAAAAATCTTGGGGAGGGTCAAAAATCACATGTCTACAGCTGCCCTTCTTTGACTGGAAACGTGAAGAGTTTTCAGACAAAGAATGACTAGACAGGTTTTTTGACCCGACCCTTATTTAGGGAGACCAAAAACTAAGAGAAAGGAGAATGTGACCGAGCCCTGGTATCTGAGCTGCCTACATATCCTTGGCTATAAAGGAATCGGGTCACGTGTAGTTCAGAAGTGAGTGAGATAATGGAGTATACCGAGGTGGAGAGTCGGTCGAGGTGCCGTTCCGTCGAGGTTCCGGTCCGCGGTCCTGTTATTACATCCAAATCACATAATGAAAAAGACTAACTAAGCCTGTCAACTATGAGTTACAAGATTCCTATCTATAAGTCTTCTGAAGCTTGATCTTGAGTCTTGAATGGTTCTTCATACAGACTTTGGATTTGAACCTTGACGCTTGCTAGTTGCAGGTGCTAGTTCATTCTTCTTCAGCTTTTCGGGTCAAAACCGGACATACCATGCTTGTGACTTCAGTCATGTCTTGAGCAGCCCACATCTTTCATCAACTTCTGCATTTGAATTCACTTCTTGCCTTTCTCTTTTTTTCTTTATTCTGGATTGTGACTAACTTCCGTTGATCATCTCGGACTGTTGACTCGCATTCTTGCTGCGAGTTTCTTTTGTTGCTGACTTGAATTGCATTCTGAAGTGAATTCCCTTATTCTCCAAGTAGGCGCCTGATTGCCAATACTCGAACTGTCTTCCTTCGAAACTTGGACTGTCTTCCCTTGAAATCTGTGCTATCTTCCTTTGAAACTTGAATTGTTTTCCCTTTGTTCTCCAGGTGGGCGCCTGATTTCCAACACTTGCACTGCTTTTCCTCGAAACTTGAACTGCTTCCCTTTGTTCTCCAAGTGGGCTCCTGATTGCTGTCTTCCTTTGGACATTGTTGCTTTCCCTTTGTTCTCTAGGTGGGCGCCTGATTTCCAATGCTTGCACTGCTTTTCCTCGAAACTTGAACTGCTTCCCTTTGTTCTCCAGGTGGGCTCCTGATTGATGTCTTCCTTTGAACATTGCTACTTTCCCTTTATTCTCCAGGTGGGTGCCTTATTTCCAACACTTGCACTGCTTTTCCTCGAAACTTGAACTGCTTCCCTTTTTTCTCCAGGTCGGCTCCTGATTGCTGTCTTCCTTTGAACATTGCTGCTTTCCCTTTGTTCTCCAGGTGGGCGCCTGATTACCAACATTTGTACTGTTTTTCCTTGAGACTTGAATTGTTTCCCTTTGTTCTCCAGGTGGGCTCATGATTGCTGAACTCCTTTGAACATTGCTGCTTTTCCTTTGTTCTCCAGGTGGGCGCCTCATTTCCAACACTTGCACTGCTTTTCCTCGAAACTTGAACTGCTTCCCTTTGTTCTCCAGGTGGGCTCCTGATTGTTGTCTTCCTTTGAACATTGTTGCTTTTCCTTTGTTCTCCAGGTGGGCGCCTGATTTCCAACACTTGCACTGCTTTTCCTCGAAACTTGAACTGCTTCCCTTTGTTTTCCAGGGGGGTTGCCTGATTGTTGTCTTCCTCTGAACATTGCTGCTTTCCCTTTATTCTCCAGGTGGGTGCCTGATTACCAACATTTGCACTGTTTTTCCTTGAGATTTGAATTGTTTCCCTTTGTTCTCCAGATGGGCTCCTGATTGCTGTCTTCATTTGAACATTGCTGCTTTCCCTTTGTTTTCCAAGTGGGTGCCTGATTTCAACAAAACAGACAAAACAAAAGAAATTTTCTGCCCCAGTTTGATATTGGGAGCATCCGTGAGTGTTAACCGATTCTTGTTATCAGAACAAATTTTAAACTAAATTCCTTTATCTTGAAAATTTCAAACCAAACCTCTTCTCAAAAGTGAAAAACTTAATTGCCAAATTACACTTTTCAAAAGTAGACCTCTCGTCAGACCTTGTCATTTGCGAGGGCCTCAAAACTTACTAAATCCTGTTATCCAGGAGGGTACTGGCACTTCTGCCGGGCCTGTCTGGCGCTTGCTTTCCTTACGGAGGGTTTCTCCTGAACAAACAAAATTTCCTGCCCCTGTTTCAATCAAAGAAAACTTGTGAGTTTAAACATGGTGGTTGGTTTGCGGCCTTGACTTTGAGGGCGATTGCTCCTTCACTTCCCATGATAACTTCGATTTCAACTCGAAAGACCTTGCCTGTTTATTGACTGACCACTTTCTCTATCACCCTTATCACGGAGAATACCTCTGATCCGTTCAAACCCAATACCATTCATCTATTGCATTGTGCTCATGCATTGATATATACTGAACCTTTGTGTTTCACATGAATCCCAAAGCATGTCAATTGCCACCCACTCAGTGCACATGCTGTTCTTTCTTGACTTAAACCACTGGCCTTGGCCTTGAGGTCTATTGCTCCTTCACTTGCCATGATAACTTTGATTTTCGCTTGGAAGACCTTGCTTGTCACTGGTTAACCACTTTCTTCGTCAATCTTATCACAGAAAATACCTTTGATCCGTTCACCCAACACCCTCCATCTGTTGCATTGTTCATGACTTGACATATACCAAACCTTTGTATTTCACATGAATCCCAAAGCACGTTGACTGTTACCAACTCAGTGCGCACGCTGTTCTTTCCTGACTTATGCCACTTTGATGTGCTAGCCAGATCCCGTTTTGTGCAATTGGAAAGTTGGTGGCAAATTTTGAAGTCATTTCTCACTTGTTTTGCCCAAACAGACTCGGGAAGAAGAAGTAAACAGGACAAAAGGAACAGAGTAAAGGACAATGGAAAGAGATGATTCCAAACAAGAAAACTACAAAGTAGAAACTTACCAGATGTGGATACCAACTCAAATGACCATGACATGCACCTTTGGATTAAGTGGCCTAATCTGTCAAGCAAGTTTGATGTTCAACTCTTGTTATACCCCTAAACCGTGAAACTGGGCTTCAATGCTCCGATTATCCAATCTGATTCACAATCCTTATTCGACTTGTAGTGCCCAAAGGGTTTTCACCATCAAGCCTCTCTCATTTTGTTCTTTTTCTCAACTCACCATCGCCTTATGGTGCCTGTGAAGGTTTTCACCAATAAGACTCTCTCATTTTGTTCTTTTCTTCTTATTTCCTCTGATTCTACAGATGACAAGGCATTAACCATGGTAAAAACATCATATACCCTTGGCATGTCTAAACTCAGCACTCTCAAAGATTATCCGGGAGGTCTTTTTTGGACTGAAATGTGGCTTTTGGACAGGATTAGAAAGAAAGAATATCATAAAGGCTCAAAGTAACTATGACAACGAGGTTAATTTATTTACAACTTTTGGAATCCATTCTGAAAACTTTTCCCCAATTTCTAAAACATGGGAATTGAATATATTTTTCCCTCTTTTTTTTTGGAATTTTCCACTCTCGACTTCGTGGGATTAAGAAATATTTTATTTGGTATGACCGAACTGTAAGGCTTCCTACGTATCTTGTGGTGGCAAGAATAAGGTCAAACGTAGTTCACAAAGATACGTTTTGTTGTTGTTATTTTTCTTTTTCTTTTCTTTTCTTTTTCTTTTTTTTCTTTTCTTTCTTTTTTCTTCTTTTTTTTTCTTTTCCTTTTTTTATATTTGTTTTTCTCTTCTTCTTCTTTTTTTTTTGAATTTTCCTTTTGGGATGAACCTTTTAAAATAAACCTATGGGGACATAAACTTTTTTTTCTTTTTTTTTTTCGCATAACTCTAACTTGATTCCAAAAGAGGGGAGGTCAAAGAAATTAGTACATGCTCAAAAGGGTATCAAATGGTATAAGTGTTTGGGTAGCTGAAAGAGGGCCTCCCAATCCCTGAAAATGCCAAGTACAACACATGCAACTTGAAATGAAAATTGAAGATCATGCACAATATTTCTTTTGCGGCTTCGGCATTGATATTACTGATATGCCTTCCACTTTTCTTTAGCGCCTTGTCAAGTACAGAACCCTCGTTGGGTGATTCCCTTTTCACAATGGATATCCTCCGTCAATTCAAAGAAAACTTCCTTGACTTTATTTTGTAACTTGAGATGCATTTGAACTCAAAGTTGCTTGCTTCAAATCGTCCGGGATGCACTCTCCTTTAACGAATTCTTGTCACCCTATCAACTTCCCAAATTATCTGCCCCAGTTTCACATGGTTCGGGCTTCATATGATCTCAAAATCTCTTGACTTATTTCCCACAAATGTCCCTATCATCTTCAAACTTGTTTCATTGCCTCATGATTAAACTAACTTTTAAGACCAGGCCTAGAATTATGCGTGCATGTCATGTTACTAGAGTCAGCATGAAAAGAACTATGAAAGGAGAAGAGATCCAAACAAAAAAATGACCAGAAATAACAGAAAACAGAAAATTGCATTAGACAGACGGTGAAAGAGTTTGAACAACATAAACTGGGGTTACAACCCTGGAATAAACCTAGATAACACTAAAAGAGTTACTACGACTAAACAAACTAGGCAAAATAAAAGGATAGAGGGGTTTGAGTCACAAGACAATATCCGGATTACAACCCTGAGATAACCCGGACAACAGAAATGACAACAAAATAAACTACCAAGACT